TATGCAAATTCATTGAGGATAATAACGTAGACGTATGTGTTCCGATCCACTACTTAAAGGAACTACTATTGAGGTGCACCCTAAATGTTCAGTTCAAGTTCAACAATACAATTTATAGACAAAGAGATGGTGTGGCAATGGGGTCACCATTGGGTCCTCTACTTGCAGACTGCTTCTTGGCCAGTTTGGAGAATAATACTTTACGGCCTACTATCGACAGCTTCCATCTGTACCAAAGATACATTGATGATACTTTCATCATATGTGACGACAATACCGACATCGAATTGATAACCAAAGAGTTCAACAGCTGCCATCATGCCATCAAGTTCACGTCGGAATCAGAGAATAACTCGGAATTCCATTTTTTGGATGTTTTTCTAAAGAGGAGATCGGATGGCTCTCTTCAAAGATCGATCTACAGGAAACCAACATGGAATGGTCAATACACAAATTTCCTTAGCTGGGTCCCTTTGAGAAGAAAGAGAAATCTGATCCATTCCTTATCCTCAAGAATAAGGAGGATATGTTCAAGTGATACAATCGTTGTGGAACTGGAGAGACTCAGACAAGTCCTCATAGAGAACGGATATCCTCCAAGATTCATCGAGAAAAACATGAAGCCAAGGGAAAAACCCGAAAGAATACAGACGGTGCCGAAGAAACTACTGTTTATGAGTGTCGAATTTAAAGGTGATACCGCAGCTGAGATCCTGAAGAATCGCTTATGCAGATCACTGAGGAAAGCCTTCTTTATGGCTGAGCTACGTATCAACTTCTACAGCCGACAAATGATCAACGGGTGTGTGAAGGATAAACTGCCGCTTTGGGCCACCTCAATGTGTGTTTATAAATTCACTTGCTCGTGTGGAGCTAGTTATATTGGCCGCACAAAGCGCACGCTTTCCAAACGCATCTCTGAGCATTATCCGGCATGGTTAGCAAAGGGACAATGTAAGACAATTAATAGCTCAATTCTCGAACATTTGGTGAACTCAGGCCACGTAGCTCCACCAGAATCGTCTTTCAAGATCATCTACAAAGTGAAGCCAAATGGTACAAAGGGCGTCAGGTTTCGGCTTTTGTGTATGGCGGAGGCTCTAGCAATTCATCAATACAACCCTGAACTCTGTATACAGAAAAAGTTTGTCCAGTCTCTTATTCTACCTTGGTCTTAACCTCTTCACTAATCGTTCCTTGTAAATAAAAAAAAATTTTTCTTTTTTCTTTTCATTCTAATTTCACTTATAGTTAGCTTTTGCTTTAATAATTAATTCACTATTATCACTCTCATATGCTCCTTTTGTATATTTTCACACCCTCTTCACACTTGTTAAATTGACACTCAAATACCTTTATTCTCACTTAATAGCAATTTTAACCTTATCAAATTTCTATCTTTTTGCCGTTGAGTACCACGTAATTTTCAATTTCTAATTTTCACTTCTAAAGCCACTTCTGAGTAATTATATCAATTATGTCGCCCCCTATTACTCAATAATAGACCACTATATATTTTTGTAAGTATAAATACGATTGTACAGCCTCTGAAGATGATTTCGTCGATAAAGAAAATTTTCTTCGCTGAATCTGTCTTTTATTTTCTTCATGACTCAATGGGTATTTTCGGTGAATGTGAATTTATTAATATCTAATTCCGTTGTTCATTCATTCGTTCATCGTTATTTTATTTATCCAGCCTGGACAGATAACAAAGTAGTAGCTAGTTCTTTCTTTCTGTCTTTTTTCTCTTGCTGTTTTACAACTCAAAAATCAAATTATCTGATTTATATCAATCGATTCCCCGCCTTTACTTTTTTGTTCAAACATTTCTGGTTTTTTTTTCTCATGATTGATTATTTTCCCTGTTTTACGAAACAAGTTGGGAAAATTTCTTCAACTTCTTTTGTTGTTGTAAATTTATGATTATTATGATTATTCAGCTTTGATGTGTTGTGTGTTTTCTTTTGTTATTATCGTTGTTGTTGTTGTTGTTGTGTGTGTGTATCCCGTCACTTTAATGCCTTTCAGTGTTTCCATAGCTCCCTCTCTCTCTCTCGCTCGCTCGCTTGCTATTTGTAATTGTCAACTCTGTGTGTTTTACAGCTATCTTATTTTATCAGTTGTTCTCTTTTTGTTTCCTTGATTGTTTACTTTGTGTTGATCACATGCCTTCCCTGGTCGGTCGGTCACTTAGTTAGTTAGTTGGTTGCATCAATATATATGTATATACATATTTTCTAGTCTCCTAATATATAAATGGATAATCGAATATTGCTCAACTTGTGTTTCGTTCTTCCGCTAACTCAACCGGCTAATCAACAAACAGATGCATGAATAAATAAATAAATAAATGACTAAATTTGAAGATGTTTGCTGTTTGTGTATTTATTATTTTGCCTATCTGTAATTCTCCATGTGTCTGTGTATGCTCACAATGGACTTATGCGCCTCTACCCTACCCCCGCCCCCCGTCCTTAGGATTAATTGTAACATACTTTGTAAAAGAAATTTCAGCTTCCAATTTTCAAACACACATGCGGGCGCACACACACAATTTTTCCCCAATTATGAGGTCAGAAAGTTATATACATATACCTATTTTCAAGTATTGGTTTGCAAGGATTTTGTTTGTTTGGTTACAGGATATTATCATCAGCTGACATTGGTTAGAGGACCACGGGAAAATTTGCAGGGAGTATTGCCAGACAGATGTTTCGTCAGCCTAGTTTAAGCCTAGCTCTTCAGCAGTGCGTATCCACACCCCACAGTAGGGTTCGAACCCACTACCTTCTGGTTACCAGGCGAGCTAGGTCATAGACCATTAAACAGTCACTTACTGGGACCCACCAATCCAATGGCCAGTCAGCCAGTCTATGAATTCTAACTTCGGCCAATTCACACATGACATAGCACGACCACTTCTCAATGTCTTTTTCGATGAGTAACTGCCCTCACCTTCGACCTGCTGTACCCTACTTGTCACAGCTTCCCATTAGAACCCCAGGTAACTGCCTACCTGAATTGAACCAGTCGCTCTACGTATGTCAAGTTGCGCAACAAAACAGCTTCTATAGATAGGTGATTGATTGAATGAATGTAAATAGCGCTAAAATTAATGTTTTAAATGCTGTGGAATTGACAGTTAAGGACAGTTATGTATAAACATATTGTTTTTGATGTGTTTTCCTATATTTTTTGTGGAGGAAATTATGAATAAATGCGTTTACTTTTTTGGTAGTAGTAAAATACAAAGAAACAGATTAATCAGTGCTGGTGTGTGTGTGTTGTTATTGACTAGCCTTCTGGCTGGAAACAGTTGGTGATATGGCTATACATTCCCAGTTGAACATGGGGCTTCAAGCTAGATCTTTGTTGTCCCAGTAGCAGAAGTGTTTCACATACAGGGTGGAGTTGCTAGCCTCATGCCCAACCTTTCCTCTTTCCTGTTCTTATTACTGGCTTACCGAGGTAAAGGAGTACGTCGGTGGCTGGGGGGGGGGGAATCGAACCACATACATGTGGTTGGCGAACATTCTACTGCTCAACCACTGACTGACGCACAATTTGAAGTGTAGTGTCTGATTTTTTTGGAATGGCTGACACTGTTTTTTTGACATTCCGTGAAGAAGTGTAAAACCTGAAATTCTGCTCTTAAGATACTAACTACTCATGAGTTTTTAGAATCTTGATTCGTCGTTTAATATTGAATTTAAATAATAATAATGATGATCCTAACTAAACACCACATCTATAATACGTAGTGTTCATTCCTGCTCGCTTATTGGTTTGGTGGCCGAAATCGACAGAGATTTCCGAAGATAAAAAACACAAAGATTTCTGTATTGAACCAATTTTCTTACGCATCGTTTATGTTGATATTTACTAATTATGATGTGGTGGACTGGATTATGAGTCAGACTGTAAGTGGAGAGCGAGGAAACAGGAATACGCTGGACCACCGATAAGGAGACTCTAGAAGATCTGGATTTCCCTGTGGATAATATATGTCCGTTGTCACACAGACCCGAAGACTTACAGGCGAAAACCAACAAACTTGCTGAAGAGGCTGCTAGCGAAGACAGGACTCCAGGCGAACATAGAGAAGGTAGAGATGGAGGTGATGAAGATAACCAACCAATTAACAGCAACAACAACAACCAGCACCAATCACCATCAACAGCAGAGATTTGACAGAGTTTACTTCCTGCCTTCACTTATCTAGGTAGCCAGCATCGTTTCAACTACAGGCGGATGGCACAGATGAAGATATCAAAACCAGCCAGCCAGAATCGGAAAGACAAGCAAGATACACACGCCTTCATCAACCTGAAACCAGTTTGGAAATCTACACTGCGCCTCAGGATAAACGATAAGATTCGAATTGTCAAGTCGGTCACTGCTTCTATACGGGTGAAAAACTTGCACTGCGTTTGTGCCACTAGAAAAATTTCCAACAGCCTGCTGCAGAATTTCATCAACAGCTGCCTTCGCTTGTTCCATGCTGAAGATCAAATGGCGAGCTGGAAAGAATAAGTAACAAGAGACTGGCGATGAATTAATGAACCAACCAAGAGCCGATCACTCAACAAATATGTAAGAGGAAATGGAGATGGATTGATTGCGCATACAACGAGGAGGGAAGCCGTTGAATGACATCGTGCTCTATGCAGGCCATAGCTCAAGTGAAACATCCAGTAGACAGCAATGAGTGGGTGGTGGGCGTGAGGGTGACATGGAGGAGATCGTGTGAGGAGGAGTTGGGAGATTATGGGAAATCGTGGACTCAGTTGAAGAGGATGGCAGAAAATAGAAGAAAGTGGAGAAGGGTTATGGAAGCCGGCCCTATGTTCCACTCGGAACCCAAGGAAATAATAATAATTATGATGTGGTATTTTATTTTGATTATAGTTTACAGTTTTATTAATTTCCATTAGTATACAGTTTCTGTCTGTAATACTATATATGTATATATATATATCTATTTTTATTTTTTGTAGTGCGTTTTATACCTGTGGGCATTGAAAATTTTACATCCGACAACATTTTTCCTTCTCCGCGGTAATCATGAATGTCGACACTTAACAGAGTATTTCACTTTCAAACAAGAATGTAAGTCAACGGAGTTTATTGTCTTCTTTACTGTGTGTTGTTGCCCTGTTATATATATCTAGAATGGCCACCGCCCCTCTTTTTTGGTAATGAATGAAAACTTCTCTTTAAGTCATAGTCATAAAATAATTAATTAATTAATTCATCAATTAACTAATAGTTATTCGCATTTTTGTTGTATTCACCACTCGTTTACTCTTTCTGTCCCTCTGTGTGTGTGTGTGTGTGTGTCTCAGTGTATACAGACTGAAGTGAGAATAGATCGGAATTTTGGTGGGTTGTCCATCTTTCGAAAGTGTTCTGTGTTTTTTTGGATATATTTGCTCATACAGTTCCCTTGGTGTTCCTTAGTCCCATAGCTTTCATAGACTTCGATGAAGAAACAAAGATCAAATTTGCAGTATATCGTCATAGTATCATCAGTCTGACTTTAAATGTTGTCCTCATCATCACCACTATCGGCTGGCTCTGTTGCCGCTGCTGCAAACTACACCTGAAATTACTGCAGCGGCTTTTTTAGAAAGAAAAAAAAGAATGACGCGAAATAACTTACTTCAATGTTTGAATGGTAGTAGAGAGAAAAAAATATTGGTTGGAGAATTTCATCATCAGTTAGAGAACCATTGGAAAACCAGATAGGAGTAATGGACGACAGCTGTTTCATCAGCCTAGTTTAGGACTGTCTCTTCAGCAGTACGCACCCACTGAGGTTTGCGCCCAAGACCTGCTGGTTACAAGACGAGCTAGCTCCGTAGACCACTAGGCAGCCACTGGGATCCAATTCAGGTAGTTACCTGGGTTCTAGTGGGAAGCCGTGGAAAGTAGGGTACAGCAGGTCGAAGGTGAGGACAGTTACTCATCGAAGAAGACATTGAGAAGTGGTCGTGCTATGTCGTGCGCAAATTGGCCGAAGTTAGAATTCATGGACTGGCTGGCTGGCTGGCACTGGCCATTGGATTGGTGGGTCCCAGTGAGTGGCTGTTTAATGGTCTACGAGCTAGCTCGCCTTGTAACAAGCAGGTCTTGGATGCGAACCTCAGTGGGCGCGCACTGCTGAAGATCACATCCCAAATTAGGCTGATGAAACAGCTGTCTGGCAGTACTCCTAGGTGGTTTTCCAATGGTCTTCTTCAAACGGATGTCAGTTCATGATGAAATCCTGAAATAAATTTATATGCTTTCAAAATGGAAGGGGGTGAGAAGACATGAAAATATAATAAGCATTATCAGCTTATAAGTTCACACAGAAACTCAAGAAGATGTGTTCAAACCTTGGACCTGTTCTAGCCGTTAACGTCATAGGTTATCTCGAAAAAACAAGTGATTGTGTTCTGCTGTCAATGAAACAGTCTATTATAGGCGATATTTTAATAATATGTTTGTCGTTTGTAACAACTTGAATCACGCATCTGTATTATTTGACCGTGTCAATGAGATCGACGCAAACAGTAAATTCATCATGGATTATGAACGTGTAACTATGAGTTAAATTTTTTCGGATCTTAATGCAAGAAGAAGAAGCGATCGTGCGATCCAAAAGTCCATCTATAAAAAAGAAAACTAGACCGGACAATATTTTCTTTATATAACAGCTTCTGTTCTATGAGCTATAAACGTCGGTTAGTGAGGACACTGTACGACACATAGACATGAAGCTATGAAAGAAGAATTAGGCTTTGTTGAGAAATGACTAAGAGAAAATGGCTATCCAACGGGGTTTATCTTCAAGCAGCATAGCAAAGAAAGAAGGCGAAAAAACGAAACATCCAATTATTGAAAAGAAGAAAGTGTTCATTTGTCTCCCATTCCATGGAGAAGATATATCACAAGAGATTTGACAAGAGAATGAAATAAGCAGCTAAGCTTGGAACACTATACATCACTACTTGCTCTATAAGCCAATCTAAACTGGATAAGTACCCTACTGAGGTCAACTCCAGTTGTGTTTATAAATTCACATGCACTTATGGTAGCAAGTACATCTGTTTTTCGTCGAGATTTCTAAATCTTTGAAAATATTCAAAGTACAAACAAAGGACAGCAGATTTACTACTATTTGCTCAAGCAGTTATAACAATCAAGCATTTCAAAGCAAACTTATGCATACAGAAAGAGAGTTGAATCGATCTCTCACTCAACTCTTGGTAACTACTATATTTTTGATCACATTGATTAGCCAATCATCCATATTAGTGATTTCAACTAACTGAGAAAGTTTTCAATTTTATAAACTATATATATATGACCTTCTTGAGTTGCTATGTCAACCTACATGCTAACACTGTTTATTAGATTTTTCTGTTTTTGATATCTTCTCCTCTACTTCCCACCCCTCCTTTTCTATTTTGAGAGTATATAAATTGATGGCAACTTAAACTAAAAATTGTAATGCTGCTTGTATTTCGGATGCGTTGTTTTTATGATGTTTTCTTTACTACCACTACTATTCAAACATCGAAGTGTGATGTTATTGTCATTCTCTTTTATAACCATTGTAACTTCAGGTGTAGTTTTCAGCAGTAGCTGATGAGAACCTTTGAGAGAGAATGATGATGATGATGCTATCAGTTTTATACTGCCAGTCTGATCTTTCTTTCTTCATCTCACAGCTTTCTTCGCTGATTATTATTACTATCATTATTATTTTGTTGTTGTCTGTCTAGTGAAGCACCCTATGATTTAATTTTCAATTAAGTGTATATCCTTCAGGCGTAGGTGGCACAGCGGTAGAATGCTCGCCGCCAACCATGCTGCCATGTGGTCTGGGGTTCGAGCCTCGGCCGACGCGCTCCTTTACCTCGCTAAGCCAGTAACAAGGCTAGCAACCCCATCCCGCGAAAACAAATACAACTGCTATCAAAACTTCAGGCATCTAGCTTGAAGGCGCCCTATGTTCCACTGGGAACGTAAATAAATAAAAAAGGCGTATATCCCGGCATTATCAAGTCTATTAAAAGTGTTGGGAGCATCCTTATACTAAATTAATAAGTAATATGCTTTTCTCCCACTGGTTTGTATTAATATACTTGATATTGTGGGTTATAACTAATTCTGCTTATTATTATTATTATTACTATTATTATTATTATCATAGAGTTAGACTAGGGATTGATTATTTTAGGCCTACAAAAGAATCTTTCCCGTTCTATTTTTATTGTAAACCAAATTTGTTATTGAGAAGTGCTCATGAATTTGCTTCACCTGATGATGAAACCTCTGACAATCATTAGTTGAATGTATTTTTTGTGTTGTAATATTTTAACGATCTCGCTTATTTTCGTCATACCGATTAACATAAGGTTCGTTATCGTACACAGAAGTGTTGATCACAATATCAATAATCTGAAGGCTTTAAGCGGAGATACACTAGTGTAACGGTCGAAGACATGAGACATTTGGTATATATATATATATATATATATATATATATATATATATATATAAAGAGAGAGAGAGAAATTATGTACACCTCATGCAATTAGTTATGTTCTCTGAGCTGGTTAATTGTTTAATTGCTAGTTGGTAAATTTGGTCTATCGTAATGTGCGTGTTTGTTAATCGCTGATTTTACTTAACTACCAACCAGACTTCTAGAAATTCTCCGGCAATATTTTTTTCGTGTTTCCTCTATTTACAATCTCTACATTATCCCACCAATCAAATTGGTGTCCATAAGTATCCACAAGCATTGATACAAAAGAATATATATCATGCCTTTTCACAGCTAATTTGTGTTCTTGGATTCGAATTCGAAGGGGACATCCGGTTTGACCGATGTCATGTTTATGCAATTTATTTTGTAAATGGTATTAATTTTATCTTCTTTTCCTGTTGGATGGATCTTTCGATTTGCACAATATCGAATGAAGTAATTGTGCTGGCTGGCTGCCTGAATGGCTTCTGTACTATATCTATTTCAAACGGTATTAGTATTCTAGCTGTTATTTCAAAGGTATTGTTGCTTATATATGGTAGGATGAATTTTCTTGTAGTCTTTGATGATGGTCTCTTGTTGATGTTGTGACTCGAGTTTAAACACTTTTTGGTGAAACTATTTGTTGGTGTCCATTCTTTTTGAAGACGGTTAGTAGTTATCTTTCCTCTATTGTCTTCAAAACTGGCGTAGTGCTACAGTGTGTTTGAACTCTTGTGAACAATGTCTGCACAGAGTTTCCTTTTTGGGTAATTGGGTTGGCTTTATTACTGTTATAGTTGAGTATTTGATCAGCGTGTGTGTTTGTGTGTGCGTTGATTTTCTATGTACTTGTGTTTCTAAATTTCCTTGTGTTAGTTCTCTTGATTAAGACAAACATCTAAGAATGGAATTTTATTGTTGTCTAATTCATGTTTCTCGGCAACGGTTGTTCATTTTCTCTTCTCTTTGACGTCAAATTTATCTCACTGCTCTGTATGATGTTATTATGCTGAAGAACGTCTCTTTATATACTACTGATAAATTTTATCAGTAGCACACACGCCACAGTAGTATTTGATGCCCTTAGTTTCGATTTTCTTTCGAATTTAGTTAGCTGAGTGATGGTGATGGTGGGCTGGGTGGTGATCGGGTGGATGGTTGAGTGAGTAAATTCCAGGATTCAGTTTATACTTTTTCTCTTTTCTTCTATACTCCTCTATTCGGGAAGTATTTTGTTTTGCTTGTATATTATACAATCCGCCAGGTGTATATGAGGTTGGTTTGGGGTTATACAGAAATCTCAGACATATAATTGTATTAGAAGGTCAGTCAATCAGATGAAGCCGGATGCCTACCCCTTTGAAGACTTCCCTTGATTATTTTTCGTTTGTTGACCTGTGGATATTGAAGTTTGATATTATTATTATTATTACTACTACTAGTACTACTACTTTTTTTCGGTGTTAAACTGCCGGTGGGTATGCACTTACGTCTTACCATGTTTTGTTCCATTAATTTCTCCAAGATACAATACTTATTGTAATATGATATATCATCATCTTCATCATCACGTGGCGATTGAACC